GTATTAACCCTAGTCTGGTTTACGTGTCTATGGAGATTTATTTTTTTTTTTTATTTTTTTTTATATATATATATAAATATATATATATAATTTATTTGAAAATTATAATATAAATTTGTTAAAATATTTACAAAATAGCCATTTTTTTTCAACAGTTCTGTGTCTTCTCTTGATTTGTTGAATGTAGAATAAAGGTTTTAAAAGGTTCAAATCAATCAAACATCCCTCACTAGGAGAAACGCTGTTACATAAGCTGGAATGACCAATCAAAATACAAGTATATGAAAATTCAAAAAACTTGACAACGAACTTTGGTAATATTAATAATCTAATGGTTTAATCTTAGAGTAAGACTAAAATAGAATTCAATCTAACTAATAAATATTAAATTATACTATAAAATTCAAAATTACCAATTTTAAATTTAATCTATAAGTTTAAAATTATAAAATTATTTCAAGAAGAAACTAAGGAAAAGTGAAATAGATTTTTCAAACATTTATTTTGTTTTATTGAAATTATGTTGGAATAAATGTTAAAAATCTAATGCTGCTCTGAACCAATTTACAACTTAGATACATTTGAAAATGAAGATTTGGGTTAAGGAGGATGAAGTTTGCAAAAGATAAACATACACAATATAGATTATATATATAAATATAGACATATATAGATATATATAACACGCAAAATTACTGCCGAGACAGGAGATAATTTTCCTACCGTTAACTTTTTATGTTCTCTAAATTCTTCCAGTTGCTGGAATGACATTTTGTTTTGTTACTATTAGTTAAATTTGTTTAATAAATTCATCTTATTTTTTTTAGAAATATTTTCCTGAAAAATTACATCGGACGAAACGCGTTGGCAATTATTTATTTCCTATTGTCTTTTTACATTTATAAATATTTTCTTTTTTATACAGGTTAACTTAATATTTTTTAATATATATATACATTTTGTATATAAATAATATATATATATATATATACAATATATATAAATGATGTGTTTGATTTTAAAAATATTTCAAAAAACGAATGATCAAAAACGTTTTTTTTTTTTAAATATTATTTATATATATATATATATATATATATATATATATATATATATATATATATTATTATATATAAATTTATTTATAAAAATTATAACATATATGTTATAAAATCACTCTCAAAAAATTTGATTTTGTTACACCCACTATTGTTTATATCCAGAATTTTGAAAATGTAAATAAATTTAATTTTATATTCAAATGCAAATACTAAAAGTGACCTTTAATATTATTATTTTGATTTTTTTTTTCCAATTGTAATCAACAAATCTTATTTAAAACTATATTTTTATTCAAAAAAAAAAAAAAAATATATTTTGATTCCAAAACAGATAAAAAAATTATTTTACACTGGCAAAATGTTGAACAAAAAATTTTATGGAAATAAAAGGGTTTGTCAACTTTTGCCCATCTCAATTTTTAATTAATATTTTTATTCCAGCTTCGTAGAATTTTTTTGAAAGTGGTTCTAATTCATTTAGAACGATTTTTCTTGATGAATATATAGTTTAATTAAGATTTGTTGATTATCTGTAAAAAATAAAAAAAAGGACATTTTTTTTTAATATTAACTTATAGATTCATTTACTTTGGCTCAGCATATGTATATATACTAGATACAAAAAAATGACACTTTTTATGTACCCATTTGATGACAAGGGGGACGCAGGAGAATCGAAAATCTGAACAGAAATTAATAAATATATTTGACTTGTGAGACAAACCAACTGTAAAGATCAAATGAATTAGATACATTTCTGTAGACAGTGAATGAAACTTTTATTAATTTTAGACTTTTCCCTTAGGATTTCATGACTCAGACTCTGATAGCCGTGTGGACATTTAAATTGATTATTTTTTTTATTTCCATTATTATTATTATTATTATAAATTATCAAAAGTCTTTTTTTTTTATTAAAATATTTATTCAATGACATTTCTATTTTTAGAATAGTTGGAGTTATATATTTTTGACTGGACAAAAGTATAGATAAAAGACACAAGTCTGCAATTACATGGATAATGTTATATATATATATATATATATATTGTTCATTGAAAACATTAAATTAAATATGATAACATATTAAATGATATAATTTATAAATATTACATCTCATAATATATAATATATATATGATCTAATGTGTGTATATGTCAATCTTGTGTGTTTATATATATCCTTAAATATAAAATTTATAAAGGTATATGTGTGTATTGCATGATATATTTAAACGAAAGATACATTAATTGTAAATTCAAAATCTGTGTGTATATATATGTATGCAACTTGTGTGTGTATATATATATATATGTTATCTATTTATATATATATGTGTGATATATATATGTATTTATATATATATGTGTAAATTATTTGTACATTAATTTTTTTTTATATGCATATGTATGTTTTATATAATAATATATATATGCCAGATATTTTTCTTTTGATAATAATGATAAAAAAATAATATGTTTTTATAGTCCAAAAATATATTTTATGTTTATTGTGTAAAAAAATATATATATATATATATAAATATATATATGAATATATATATATATATATATATATATGTGTTTCAATATAAATAATGTATTTATATATATTGAAAACATGTGAATACATTTATATATAAATATATATATATGTAAATTAGGATATATATTATATATGACATCTTATATCTTCATACCTATATATATATATTGATCAAAATATATATATATGTTTGTGAATATATATAGTATATATTTTAAATATATATATATATATTTACAGCATTTTATACATATATATGAAAAAAATATTTGTTTAAAATAAAAGAATATCAGAATTTCAATGCAAAAATAATATTATACCATTTACTCAATAAATTGTATGTATAAAAAGATAGATATATATGTATATTTATAGATTGGTGTATTATAGATTTGTGTTGTATATCAATGTGTGTTGTCAGGATATATGTATTTGAATATGTGTGTTTGATATATATATGTATATATATATGTGTGAAATATATATATATATATATATATATATATATATATATATGTTTTTGTGAATAGATATATATATAGAATAAATTTATGAATGTTCAAATCATATACATATGATTTTTGATATATCAAGTGAAAGATATATATGTGTCATGAAAAATATGATATATATTTTTGTAAATATAAATGTATGTGTGTGAAATATATATATATGTGTGATATATTATATATATATATATATATGTGTTTATACATATATATATATATATGAATGATATATGTATGTATATATATATGAAAAAATTTGATACATATATGTATATATATTTGTGTTAAAAATTATCTGGCATGTATTTAAGGGTCCCCATGGATCTTCTATAAATATATATCTATATGAAACATTATATATATATATATATATGTGTGTATATATTTGTGTACATGTTGAATATATTTATATATGTCATGTGTGTATATATATATATATATATATATGTGTGTGTGTATATATATATATATATATATACAGGTGTGTTCCATTACCATATATATATATGTGTGTGTTGAAATACTATATATATATGTAAAATTATTATGTATATATAATTGTATCACACAAAATGAACAGTTAAATATTTGGTATATATATATATTACAACAATATTTTTTAAACATAAAAATATTTCATAAATATAACAAAATGCCTAACTTTCTGTGATAAATGTAAATATATAACATTTTTACATTCATTCCAATGGAATTTTTAGATAATATATTTATATGAATGTGTGTTTGTGAATATGTATAAATATATGTATATATATGTGTGTGAAAATTATATGGTGAATATATATATATTTATTGAAAAAAATAAATTGTATATATTTATATAATCCTTATTTATATATCTATATATATATGTATAAACATATATATATATGTGTGTGTGTGAAAATGTATGCATGTATAACCATATGTGTGTGTGATATATGTATGTATATATGTATATATATGTGTGTGTGTGTGTGATATATGTATGTATATATGTATATATGTGTGTGTGTGATATATGTATGTATATATATATATGTGTGTGTGTGTGATATATGTATATATATATATATATGTGTGTGTAAATATATGTGTGTGTATATATATATATATATATATGTGTGTATGTGTGATATATATATTTTGTATATATATATATTTTGTGCAGTGTTTCAGATATACTTAAAATATATATCTGTTAAAGGACAATATAAAAAAAGGAAAAATTATCTTCGCTGACCTGATACGTCCTGTGATGGACTTCTTTCCCAAGACAACAAAGAAGATGAGAAAAATTTAATTCATAACCGCCTCTGATTTAAAATACAAGCGCACCTCTAAAACTCTTGACGTTCAGAGATTGGCAGCTGGCATCTCTTCCAGATCTAGGGCTAATTTCCCGCTGGGGGAGGGGGAACTGGCTGGTTAGATTCAATGCCACGAAAATAAAACTAGTTATATTACATGACCGCCGATCAGATCCCGACCAGTGACGATGAACGGATGTCCCCACGAAAAAAGTCCCATACCTCGAGAGAATACTGGGCCTCAAATTCACATCCTTTCAAGTGGAATTATACATACGATCCATCTTTAATGATGCAGGTAAAATAGTCGGCTTCCTGTACCTGAGTCCTCATGTTATTTAAACAAGAGCCAGATCAGACCGAAAATAGTACAGTCCTCACTTTCTAGTCTTGATAGAGTTCAAAAGTGTCTCGAACTCCTTGTTGGAGAAGAATTATTTTCTACCCTCCAAACTCTCTCTCTCTCAGGCGGGATGTGGCGAATCTCTCACTGCTCTATCGCTACTATCATGAAAAGTGCTCAGACGAACTATATTCCTTGGTTCCTCCAGGTCTAACCTTCATTGTAGCAAACCTCACCCACATATCCTCTTTATTCCATCGGTGAGAAGTAAGTTCCTCTCAAACAGCTTCTTCCCGCGAACCACGGAAGGGAGGAACGAAGGGAGCAATGAAGGAGAGGAAAGGAAGAAAGAAAGGAGATAAAAGATGGAAGGAAAGATGGAACGAGCGAACGAAGGGAGCAATGAAGAAGAGGATGAGAGGGAAGGAGGGAGAGGAAAGGAGAGAAATGGAGGAGAAGAAAGGAAAGGAAGAAAGAAAGGAAATAAAAGACGGAAGGATGGAAGGAAGGAAGGAGAAAACGAACGAACGCACAAGGGGAGCAATGAAGACGAGGATAGGAGAGAAGGAAAGGAGAGGTAAGGAAAAGAAGAGAGGAAGAAAGAAAGGAGATAAAAGACGGAAGGAAGGAGAAAACGAACGAACGCATGAAGGGAGCAATGGAGGAGAGGATAGTAGGGAAGGGGAGGAGAGGAATGGAAAAGAAGAAAAGAAGTGAAGAAAGGAAGATAAAAGACGAAAGAAAGGAAGGAAGGAAGGAGAAAATGAACGAACGCACAAAGGGAGCAATGAAGGAGAGGATAGTAGAGAAGGAGAGGAATGGAAAAGAAGAGAGGAAGGGAGCAATGAAGAAGACGATAGGAGGGAAGGGGAGGAGAGGAAAAGAAAAGAAGAAAAGAAAGGAAGATAAAAGACGGAAGAAAGAAAGGAAGGAAGGAGAAAATGAACGAACGCACAAAGGGAGCAATGAAGGAGAGGATAGTAGGGAAGGGGAGGAAAAAAAGAAGAGGAAGGGAGCAATGAAGAAGACGATAGGAGGGAAGGGAGGAGAGGAAAAAGAAAAGAAAAAAAGAAATAAAGATAAAGACGGAAGAAAGAAAAAAGGAAGGAAGGAGAAAACGAATGAATTCACTACAAAGGGAGCAATGAAGAGAGGATAGTAGGAAGGGAGAAAGAATGGAAAAGAAGAGAGGAAGGGAAGCAATGAAGAAGACGATAGGAGGGAAGGGGAGGAGAAGAAAAGAAAAGAAAAGGAAGATAAAAGACGGAAGGAAGAAAGAAAGGAAGGAAGGAGAAAATGACTTTAAGTTGCATAAAGGAACAATGAAGGAAGGATAAGAAAGGGGAGAGGAATGGAAAAAGAAAAGAGGAAGGGAGCAATGAAAAGACGAAAGGAGGAAGGAGAAGGAAAAGAAAAAAGAAAAAGAAAAAAGGAAGATAAAAGACGGAAGGAAAATGAAAGAAAGGATTTTTAAAAGAAAAAAATGAAAAAAAAGGAAGAAAAGAAATAAAAGGAAGAAAGGAAAGAAAAAAGAAGAGATAGAATAGAAGGAAAGAAAAAGAAAGGAAGAAAAAAATGGAAAAGGAAGAAGGAAAATTTGAAGGATCAATGAAGGAAAGACGAAAAAAAAAGAGAAATGGAAAATATTTAAGAAAGAAAAAAAAAAAAAAAATGAAGATAAAAGATGGGAAGAAGGAAGAAAGAAAGGAAGGAAGGAGAAACCGAGGGAACTAACGAAAGGAAAAAAAATGAAGAAGAGGAATAGAAAGAAGGAAGAGAGGAAAAGAAAAGAAAGAGAAAATAAAAAAAGGAGATGAATTTTTTTTCTTTATCTGGTTTTTAATCGGTAAATACATGTCAGGTTTATATGACGGTTCCGTATAAGATACAGGTTCGATTCCTGTCGGAGGACGAATATTTCTATGAAAAATTTCTCGGACATTCAGGCCGGTAAATGTTTTAATACTGTTTATTATAAAAAACAGAGCATTTACTTAAATATTTGTATCTATAAAAGAATGTATAAACGAAAAAATGTCTTTAATTTTTTTTACTTTGGTTTATAAATGCTATTTGAAAAGGAAAAATCTTTACATATTTTGATAATGTCAGTCGAGGAAGAAGGAATGAATAAAGAAATTTTGGCTATATATATTTTAATTAATATATATATATATATATATATATATATATATATATATATATATAAAAAAAAGAATAAAAAATGAAAGTTTCTTGAATTGACCAAACGCGTTCAAAAAACTTTCATTGAATAATTATAAAGTGAACAATTAGTTAACTTATCTTCATACCTAGGTTTTCCAAACGCTGCTCGTGATTTGTTGGGTGGCAGGTCCGCCATAGCCTCGAAAACCATGAGATCATGTCCCTGGTCAAAATGATGAAGAAAATTATCAAAGGCGTATAACACATGTTGTATAAAAAAAATATATATATATATATAAAAATGAATATATATATATATATATATATATATATATATATATATATAATATATATATATATATATATATATATATATAATATCCTCATATATATATATATATATTCTGTCCAATATATATATATATATATATATATATATATATATATATATATAATATATATATATATATATAAAACCTTATTAATGGAGGACCCAGCGAAAACACAGATACCCTTTACTTAAATTGTGTTAAAAATTATTTTGCATACTCAAGAAAATGTGCCTACCACCATGATCTGCACCTGTGTCTCCCTGCGGAGATGAAACCACCGTCTAATCCGGAGTAATTTTATCACTTGGTTACAAGCTTACTTATAAAATCAGGGAGGAAAAAGGTTTCAAAGTTCCTTCCAGCCACATTTTACTAATTAAGTTTCAGGTATTACAGCTCAGTGAACGAAATAAATTCTGTTTAAAATAAATGTAGCGTCTACTCAAATATCCATAAATTCTTTATTTATATGGTAGCCTCTCTCATCTTATTCGATGTATGAGGGTCAATCAGCCCAGTTCCTTGGAACCGACAGCCCAGACCCCAGAACACATAATTTGATTGTAGTGGTGAAGGCTTTGTCCCAAACCATCCACACTTTTTGAAGGGCCGAATACAGAGACCTGGTGCACTACGTGCCACAAGGTTCCCAAACGACCCTCCGCAGGTTTCGAATTCAGAGTTGTCTATCCTTCTAAATTTGTTGCCATCCAAAGCTATAGAACCCAGTCTGTCCTGCTATTTACCCATAGCTGGAGGGAGAAGAGGAATAAATTGGTCGAGTTCAATTATATCAGTATACCATGGTTCAGTTCAGTTATGTCGGTGTATCATACTTCACAGTCTGACCATCTGTATCTCCCTATCATATTTAATTCTGATCATACATGTATATCACAGTTGAGTCAGACCATTTATATGTCCATATTATAGTTCAGTTCACTTATAACTGTAAATCATAGTTCAGTCTGACCATCTGTATCTCCATATAATAGTTCAGTCAGATCTTGTATATATCATAGTTCAGTCTGACCAGTTATATGTCCATATCATAGTTCAGTTCACTCAGATCATGTGTGTTGATCACGGTTCAGTCCGACCATTTATATGTGCATATCCTATAGCACAGGCCAATATCGCCTCTGAACTTATTTTTGTCTCAACTCCTTTTACTTGTAGTGTGTCAGCCATGTCAACACATCTGATCACATGAATCAAAAATTAGCCTGACCGTTTTAGTGCTGTCTCCAGCTTCCCAACATTGCATTACCATAATGCAAACACTATCAATCTTAGTGCCACTTTTAGATACTAATAACTCATTGGTCATTTTCGGCTGTCTAAAGATTTCCATATGAAGCAAGTGTCTGAATTTATTCGTTTCAACATAACAAATTGGCTTACTTACAAGTCGTTCAAATTTCACAAACGAGAAAGCCAATATGGATCGCATTAACAACAACAACAAAAAAAAAAACTCGAAAAGTGATACATAACTTGGTTAATATTTCTGTCTGCAGTTTTAAAGTTACTTATCTCAGTCAGGTACAAAGCTCAGGTATTTACATATTTACACACAAAATCGGCCTATAAAATGTTTAATATGCGTACGAAACATATAACATGCACACATAAATTATTACTAGAAAGACCCATGAAAAATTCACGGTTTTCCTATTTGAATTTTCGGATGAATCTTAGTTGTTTAGTTAATGACTGAGCAAGCTTAGGCAAGTTATGTGACAGTGAAATATCCGTAGAATTTCCCCTATCGCTTCGCTAAATATTCGAGCTTAACGACTTCGAGAAAATATTGCAATAGCAATCATACATATGAATGCTGGTCGTCAATCTAAGAAGTAAGGGGATACAAACGAAAGATTTGAAATTGATAGATTTTTTTTCATTTCCCTGAAACAGTCCGTTAAACAAATCTATCTCCTCTTCTTTTATTCCTTTTTCTCACTGAAACCAAGTAGCTTCTCTGATATGTCCTTTCCGTGCGATCAAAACAGAATAGACCATTATTTATCATGCATTAGCGGGAGACGTTAAAAATTCTATCTACCTTTTTTGCATTTTTTTTCACTGAAGCCAAGTAATGTATTTGCCCGTCTTTCCACCTTGACCAAAACGGAATACTCCATTATTTGTGAGGTATTGGCAGGGCGTAACGGTCGTGTGGACTAATGAGAGATTGGGGACAAGCACAACTATATATTACGTAAATATGGTGTATTGAGGCAGCAAATTTCTTCGAAAGAAGTTTTACTAAAAATTCTAGGTGAAAAACCAATGATCAATAAACAGCATTACATTCCTACATTGGCCACACGTGCACCACATACTCTCGTAGGTTGACTTGTCAAAATTTGAAACTTCAGTTTTACTTAAATCAAAAAAAATCATGAAAGTTATTGCCCTAGATATCTCGAAAGCCTTTTAGCAAATTTAACTTGAAAGGAAGCTTCTGCAATATTTCCAGCTATGGTAGAAAGTTTACATAATCATTAAATATTAATTTTATCTGGTTTTTTTTTTCTGTTTTGAGACTAGAAAATTCTAGGTACATCATTGCGTTATTGATTGTTTTGATTGATTGGTTTGTTTTTTTTATAAGCGTATCCACCTTTTAAATTTTATATGAATCAACAAATATATCGTTGCTACTTTTGTAATGTCAACGAAAACTATTTGTCACTTTCATGTAAATCGTTTTAGTATTCTTTTTTGTAATCGCGGATACAACTATATATATAAAGCCGTTGAACAATACTGGTGATAGACGCCTTGAATAAATATTTTTAAAACTAATAATGTTAGTTAGAAATTGTTTTAATGAATTCTAATTCATCACTTTTTTATTTTCCTATACTATAAATACTTGGGCGACTTCTCGCCTTGATTTTTTTTTTTCATATTATAGTGACTATAATGAATATATATTTTAGGAAATAGTATTAGCCTTTTACAAAAATATATAAAAACAACACACAAATAAAAAATATAAACGAACATTCACCAAATAACAAATTAACCAATGTTTATTTGGATATACACACACACACATACATAACAAATGTTACTGTCGATTTAAAAAAATTTTGTTTAATATATATATATATATATATATATACAAGTTATATATATATTTACAACCTAATATATATAGACAAACCTACCAATGTTTCAATTTAAGCGGATCGTTTGGGAACGCTTTGAAAAGTATTTTATATTTGATAAAAAATAAATTTAATATTAATATATACGAATTTTTTGGAGCTTTCCTGACGATCTTTTGAGGTGAAACCTAGGTAGGTTTGTCTGGCTCACTAGGTTTATCTAGGTCTGCTCTACGGTTGTATTGAGCTTTTTTGTTAGTTAGTTGTTTACTCGTGTCGGGGTTTTTTTTCTTTTGGGCTTCAAACCTGTATCTGTGCGATTTTTTTTCGACAGACTTTCATGTTTCTAGCTCTTTTTTTTTTAAAACCTTTTTTTCCTTCGAAATTGATTTGATTATTGGCAAATCAAAAAATTGAAGGTTTTTTCGAACGAGTATAGTTATATATATATATATATATATATATATATATATATAATAATATATTGCTATATATATATATGAAAAGTAACCACCAAACAGTGATTTGAATAGTAATCTGTATAGTGATCACTTAGACGCCACGCTAATTCCCATATATACATTTCCTTTACCACCACGTTTTCTACTTATTCAAAACGAACAGTAGAGCCTGGCATTGCCCGGGGATGTAACAGTAAGAGATAGATCAAGTATTGACCATCATAAAGACGGAAAAATAAAATTGACAAAGATTATTGTTTAAGGTTGACGGACACGAATGTCTTAATTAGTTTTTTTTTTTGTTTTTTTAATTGGTCAAACTCAAACAAAAACATTGTTTTCAATCGTTATGAGTCTACCGATTGAATAGAATTTTATTATAAACAATTGTGTTGTAAATGGAATTTTTAAAGCACTCTGAATGTAAAAATAAAAAAAAAAGTAAAAAGACAATAAGAAACACTACCTGCGTTTTTTTTTTTTGAAGTTTTGTTGAAAAAGTTGAAAAATGTAAAAATTTGATCCCATATATAAACGAACACACACACACACACGCAAACAACCTGGGTTTTATAATAAGTATATCTCGATATGAGCTGTCCCCCTTTCATTCTGGCGACAGAATCGTGTTGAATCGTTTTGATTTCCGTGCAAAAACAATTGTGTTTTTCCAATTTTTGGCGCTGTCAGTACCACCGCAAGGTAATTTTACGTAGTCTTTTGAAGTTTTGTTGAAATCGGTTGAAAATGTAGGAAATCCGATCCAATATATAAACCTACAGACACACACACACACACACACACACACAATCTGCGTTTTATAATAAGTAAGATGGGATCGCCTGTTTGATCTCTGGTGATCTGTGTTCCAACTCCAGTGTTGGCAGCGACACTTTATTCTAAGTAGCTCCAAAAATTCGTATACCTAAGGTTTAAATATATTTTTTAAAAAGGAAAAATACTTTTCGAAGCGTTTCCCTAAACTTCACTTGAAAGCTTAAGGATTAAATTTTCTGATTCCATAAAAAAATACTGTTGAGTATTTCAGATAAAAATTTGAATGATTTTTAGTCAATTCTTCCGAAAAAAAACAAAAAACAATCGAAACGGCCATTTTTAACATTTTTAGAGAAATTTACACAAAACTTATTTTTTTCCTTTTTGAAAATCTCACTAAAATAAGATATATATTTCTGAAACGTTACTTTTAGCAAATTTAAAGTTAAATTAATATGTTCGGAAACAAATATTACTTATAGCATAAACTTACTCGGCAAACATTTCTTGACCTCGGTGTATTGTTATTTTTACGTCTCCATCGATAATTTGATGGCTGAATATATTGCCAGGTTTAGTACGGTGCACCAAAATTGACATAACGGTTTTTTTTTTGTTTCTTATAATAATTTAAAATACTATAACAATTTCTTACATTATTGAGTTACCTCTATAATGGTATTGACATTATTTAATAGCTAAGATAATGATAAATAAATTTTATTAATTATTAACATTACACTAATTTATTACACATTTAATTTAATAATTGAGATAATAATTAATAAAATTGTTATTATATTAATAATTAAATTATCTCGCTCAGTTATTAACTGTTTAAATTGATAAATGAGATAATTTTATTATCTCAATTTAATTTTTAATTTAATAATTGAGATTGAGATAAGCCGAAGACATTTATATGTCAAGGGGTTTTCCCTAAGGAGTGTAGAATAACAATACAATAAACACACTTATGGCGTAAGGATCCCAGCTGAAGCGTCCAGCTGGCAGACAAAAATAAAGCAGGTTACCAAAAAACTCAATACAAACCCTGCAAACTAACTCATGAATCAAGCTGGTATTTATACAGATTTTTCCATTCATCATGTACCAGCAGCCACTTCACAGCCCAAGCAATGGACTAGAAAATTTTAAAAGCACAATGAGATGCTCCAAGATGCACCATAAATAGCTCTCTTTCTCAAGGTGGAGTTATTCTTCAATCAGCTTGCTCCACAACTGAGTGTTTATCTTGACTACGTGATTGCTCTACAAGGAGGAGATAAGCCTTGAAACACGTGACCTTTTAGTTATAATGTCACTTACGAGATCTACTAAAAAATATAGCATTTTGACGCATAAAAAATATCTTTAATTATGTAAAAAGTTTTGGTAGCAGGATTTGTATTAAACTTTTAATTTTCACTTAGTAAAAACAGTATTCACTTAAAAACTTAATAAACTACCTCGTACACTCTTTGGAAGAATTTTAAAACATTTTTTAAAATTAAAGAAAAATGCAAACAATTTTTGTAAAAAGTCTTTATTCATCGAAAAAAAATTTTCTTCAAATAATAATGTCCTCAATGTATATTATTTATAAAAGCAAATAAAAGCCTAATTCGATAATTAGATAGTTTTATTGCAGTTTTTATTTTACGATTTGGAGCAAATTTTTAAAAAGTTGGCA